TTGGGCTTTGCAGGCAGACAAAATGGGCTTGAATCTCAGCCCAGCTATGACTCTTTGAGTTGTGTGGCTAGAAAATTACTTAGTGTCTTGGGCTTAGGTTAACTCATCTGCAAAACAGGGATCATACTCACCTCTTAGATGACAGTGGTCACTGTGTACAGTATCCATCACATCCCAGTGAGGGCTTGAGAAATGGGAGATGTGGCTATTATACAACTCATAGTGGCATTCATTGGATTAAGCTGTGGTGGGAAGTTCTCCAGGCTCTGGAGGACCCAAGAGTGAGGGACCCCAGTGAAGGAAGCAAGTCATCTTAGATTTCCCCCTGGGATCTTGGGCTTCCGGCTGGCTCAAAGTACGGTCGGAGTAAACCACTGGTCCTGGCAGCCACCTACAGCTCTCTCCCCAGCTGCATCCAGAGGCCACTGTCATCCGCAGTCTCTGCTTCCCTGTGACCCTGGCCCTTTGCCAGGCTAAGTTTAACTGTGAGCTGCATGGGCTGCCCCCTCTCTGTGGGCAAGGGTGGGGGTGGGGAGGAACTCAGAAGGCTTCCTGCCACTGGCTTCCTGGTGAGCAGACAGACAACAGCCAGCCGAGTGGCCCAGGTTATTCTGAAAGCCAAACTCACCAGCTGTGAGACAGCCTGGTAGAGATGAGAATGTCAGGCCCAGGTGGAGACTGACATCCTTGGAATGAGGGGCATGGGGCTTTTGGGGGAAGTGTGTATGTGAGTGAGGGGCTCCCAGCCACCTGTCCTGTTGGAACACCTGGATTCCTTCTCCCCTCTTCTTCTTCTGACCCCCAGGACCCCCAGGGCAGTGTTCCCATGACTTGGTTTGGGAAGGGGGAGTAGTAGAGGCTTCAAATTCAGCCATAGCTCCATCCTCTACCCTAGCCTGGCTGGCCCTCCCAGCTCCATCCCTCAGGATGCTGCAGACACAGCCTGTGCAGAGTTTAAGGAGCAGCAAAAATGACAGCTGGGATCCAATCCTGGGGACGGGAGGCAGTGGGACGTGAGTCACAGGAACTCCTGACCTGCAAGAGAATCCCAGGCTCTGAAGCCTTCTCCCCTCTTGCTGGGGGCCAGGGTGGAGGGAGGGACTTGCCAAGGAACAGCAACAACAGTGGAGCGTTTTGTGCTGTCAAAGCACTTCTGAGCGTGCGTTCCTCCATGCCCCTGGGACTTGGGCGGGGCGGGTGTGCTTGGCAGATGATAAAACACAGGCCTGTGGGTGCTGAGGGGCAAGGAGCCCACCCCATGCAAGGCACAGTGCTAAGCTCCCAAAGTGTTACCTCATTCAACCTTCCCAACATTGCTATGAATTAACTCCTCACAGTCAAAGCATGGGCGTCCTAGAGAAGCTAAGTGAACCCCCCAGGATCACTCAGCAAGGGGAAGAATCAGAGTTCAAATGCAGGTCAGCTGGGTTCACAGCCCAGGCCCCTTTCCTTTTATTGCCCTGTTCATCCCTGAAGCCCCTGCCCAGTCTTGTTTGTAACCCTGCAGTGTCCGTGTTACTGCGGGCTGCCTGCATCCTGCCAGAGTTCTCTGTAGGGACAAGCATGTGGCCCCCACTCCATCCTGAATCCCTACAGGCAAGGTGCTCTGTGTGTTCCCCGCCCAATCCTAGCTACCCTGTTACGAGAAAACTTGCTCAAGAACATGCATTTTGCTCAGTGCTTTACCTGCATTATCTTGCTCAAGCTTTACAAAAGCAAGTTTTATTCTCATTTTACAGAGGAATAAACTGGGGCTCTGAGAAGTCCAGTGATTTGTCCAAGGTCACCTTCAATAGGCTCACATGCTGGGTGCATCCAGTCTGTCTCCTTTAGAGTCTTTTTTTTTTTTTAGAGACAGAGTCTCAGCCCTTGGTAGAGTGCCGTGGCGTCACAGCTCACAGCAACCTCCAACTCCTGGGCTTAGGCGATTCCCTTGCCTTAGCCTCCCTATCAGCTAGGACCACAGGCACCCGCCACAATGCCTGGCTATTTTTTGTTGCAATTTGGCTTAGGCTCGGTTCGAACTCGCCCTCGGTATCTGGGGCTGGCGCCCTCCCCACTGAGCCACAGGCACTGCCCTCCTCCAGAGTCTTAACCACTTGCAACAGGTCTTCCTAGTTGAAGTTCTGAACCTCCTACCCCAGTACCAGGAGATTCTTACTGCAATCCCTCCTCGGGGAGGCATGAAGTGTATGCAGGTAGCACTGAGGAAGGTGTGGGGTGGAGACCAACAGGGCTTCTCAGTCGCAGGACTTGGTGATGGCACCACTCTCCAGTTGGTGGCTTCCTACCCTGAGTTGACATGGAAGCTGACTCCCTCCTGGATTGGGAGTTGCAGGGCTATTACTGTGACTGGTTAAGGCCTGCTGTGCCCAAAGGTGGCTGCCTATGGTACAGAGGCCCTAAAGGACCTCAAAACTCCCATATTATCTCCTAACTGGCTGCTGCACTCTGTTAGCACTCTATCTTAAACTCTCACCCACGTTAATCAACCAGCCTCCCAGTTATGTCTTGGACCACCCTGGCAAAACTTTCCATTGACATTTCTCTGATGCAGAAACCGGGGCTGACCTGTTTCTGCAATCATCCAGCAAGCTGCTCCTGGACTTGGGGAAGAAAGCTGGCTTACTGCCCCTTGCATTTTTTTCCACCCCATCTACCTTCCAGTGTGACTTCCTCCACTTACTCTTGTCCCATTTCCTCCTAAAGAGGAAACTTGTAAGTGCTTCAGAGCTCACCTCTGAGCCCTGAACTTACCTCCACACTGGATTCCTCTGCAGCTGGTCCTCCCTGCCTCCAACCTTTTTAGCTCATGTTGACAGGTCTAGCTAGTTGTGCATGGGGTGTAGCTGTCTGAGTCACCTCTGAGCAGCAAGCTTTGCCACGTGTGGTGGCAGACAGCTCAGGCCATCTATATCCTGCCCCTCGTCAGGGATAACCTGCAGAGCTATGCTCAGCTGCTGACAAATCCCTGCTCCTAAGCACCATTAGGACAGAATTTCATTGTGCAAATTCAAGGTCAGGGGTTAAGCCAAAGGCAGTGGAGCTTTTTAGGCCTACCAAAAAAGTCCTATCAGGCAGTGGCTGCATGTTTTTTAGGCCTACCAAAAAAGTCCTATCAGACAGGGTGGCAGGGTGATGGTGGAGGGTGGGAGGAGCCCTTGGTGTTTTTGTTGTCCACCAACAATCTCAGGACCTCAGCTGATTTGCATTTGGCTATTTCGTCTCATCACAGAGGTCCCAGGCAGGAAGGGAGCTGGCAAGTTGTGAATATTACAGATTGCTAATTCCCAAGGTTCTGCTGAGGACAGGAAGGTATGTAATGTAAGGCTTATAGTATAAGGTAACACTTCTCAGGCTTAATGTGGATGATATTAAAATACAGATTCTGATTCAGCAGGTCTGGCTCAGGGGAGATCCTGCATTTCTAGTAAGCTCCCAAGAGATAATTGCGGCTTCTGGTCTGTGGATCATAATTGGAATTGCAAAGATTCTAAAGATTAGCCCTTCCCCAAAAGTCACTGAAGGTTTAAAAACTCATTTATCCTGGGGGAGTGGAGTGGCTCCTTTCACAATTAAGAAGTCAGATTTAGGCTCAATGCCCATAGCACAGTGGTTTTGGTGGCAGCCACATGCACTGAGGGTGGCAGGTTCGAACCTGGCCAAGGCCTGCTAAACAACAATGACAACTGCAACAAAAAGATAGCCGGACGTTGTGGCAGGCGCCTTGTAGTCCCAGCTACTTGGGAGGCTAAGGCAAGAAAATCACTTAAGCCCAAGAGTTGGAGGCTGCTGTGAGCTGTGATGACACAGCACTCTACCGAGGGAGACAAAGTAAGACTCTGTCCAAAAAAAAAGAAGTCAGATTAAAGTTCACATGCCTCTAAGAAGAAACTAGTGACTCTGTTGCTGTCTGAGGTTGTTGCCAAGATTGGCTTGGGAAAGACTGAAGACCCAGGGATCTGGGTCTGGATTTGGGGTGAGGTCTTCCAGATCAGAAGGGGAATATTAGGGCTCAAAACTACTTCAGAAACAGTTACTGTTCAATGAGTACGTGCTACGTGCTGGTCACTGGCCATGTAGTTTGCAGGGATCATTCCATCTATCATTACCATGACCCTGTGGAGATACTATTGTTTTCCTCTTGTACAGTAAAGAAACCTGGCTCAGAGAGGTGAGTTAACACACCTAAGGTCATACAGCTGCTCAGTGACAGGGCTGGCTTTGTAAGCTAGCCCTTTCTCCCTTAACCACTAGGCTTTCCTGTGTCGTAGGAAGATGGCATTTGCTGGAAGTAGAAGGGGATGTTTTATTTAAGACTATTTGGTTTCAAATAGTAGATAAACAACTCAAACTGACTTAAAAAGGACTTCTTCATTGATGTATATGACTAAAAAGCTCAGACAGTAATGACTTCAAGCACAGCTGAATGGGGGACCAAGGGGTTGCTTTTCTCGTTGTAGGCATCTTAGGCAAACTCCTTCTTGAGAGCCAACTGCAGGTGTAATCTTGTTCCCTCGGCAACCCTAGCAACAGGCTGAGTCTTTCTCCCCATTGGGTCCAAAACATCCTAACATCTGTCTCCCATTGGCCCAAATTAGGTCACATGCTCATCCCTGAGCCAATCACTGTCGAAGTAGCAAAGGGTAGTTTAGTCTGCGTTGCGCCAAGGTTATGCTCCCGCCCCTGGAGCGTGGGGGTTGGTTTATTCCTGCCCTAGTGGTAAAGAGTGGCGGGAGGAAAGTTGGTTCCCAGGGACAGTGGGTGCTGCTGTCAGCAAGGGGACTATCTGGGCAAAAAGAGATCTCCACCGCAGGTGTAGGCCTCTGGGGTTCTTTCTCCCAAAGCTGGACTGGAGCGCATGAGATTTCAGGGTGGGCTAGGTGGGAGAACTAAGACTGACCAGCCCCAGCGGGCAGAGGTTGGGACGAGGATCCAGGGACGAAGTGACCTTGAGGGAAGCTTGGTGTGACTGTCGGTCTCTCTGTTCCCAGGAAAACTCTGGCCATGGCCATGGGGCTCTTCCGGGTGTGTCTGGTGGTGGTGACCGCCATCATCAACCACCCGCTGCTGTTCCCACGGGAGAACGCCACAGTACCCGAGAACGAGGAAGAGATAATCCGCAAGATGCAGGAGCACCAGGAGAAGCTGCAGCTGGAGCAGCTGCGCCTGGAGGAGGAGGTGGCGAGGCTGGCCGCCGAGAAGGAGGCCCTGGAGCGGGTGGCGGAGGAGGGCAAGCAGCAGAACGAGGCGCGTGCGGCCTGGGACCTCTGGAGCACCCTCTGCATGATCCTCTTTCTGATAATCGAGGTGTGGCGGCAGGACCACCAGGACGGGCCCTCGCCCGAGTGCCCGGGTGGTGATGAGGACGAGCTGCATGGGCTGGGCAGCACTCCACTGAGGGGCCTCACCCTGCCGGATAAGGCCACGCTCAGCCACTTCTATGAGCGCTGCATCCGGGGGGTCACGGCAGACACTGCCCGCACCCGGGAATTCATAGAAGGATTTGTGGATGACTTGCTGGAAGCCCTGAGGAGCCTCTGCAACCGGGACACAGACATGGAGGTGGAGGACTTCATTGGGGTGGACAGCATGTATGAGAACTGGCAGGTGGACAGGCCGCTGCTGTGTGACCTCTTTGTACCCTTCACACCCCCAGAGCCCTACCGCTTCCACCCGGAGCTCTGGTGCTCCAGCCGCTCTGTGCCTCTGCATCGCCAGGGATATGGCAAGATCAAGGTGGTTCAGGCGGACGCTGATGCGCTGGGCTGTGTCTGCGGCAAGACCAAGCTGGGGGAAGACATGCTCTGTCTCCTCCACAGCAAGAACAACACGGTGCAGCCCAGTGGCAAGATGGAAGATCTGCTGTGCTCCAGAGATTCCCTGCACCTGGACACCATGCAAGTCATGAAGTGGTTCCAGACAGCCCTCACCAGAGCCTGGCACCGCATTGCCCACAAGTACGACTTCGACCTGGCCTTTAGTCAGCTGGACAGCCCGGGATCCCTCAAGATCAAGTTCCGCTCAGGGAAGTTCATGCCCTTCAACCTGATTCCTGTGATCCAGTGTGATGACTCAGACTTGTACTTTGTCTCCCACCTTCCTAGGGAGCCCTCTTGGGAGACTATGGATTCCAGCACGGATTGGCTTTTGTCCTTTGCAGTGTACGAGAGACACTTCCTCCGAGTGACCTCAAAGGCGCTGCCCGAAGGCTCCTGCCACCTCAGCTGCTTGCAGATTGCCTCTTTCCTGCTCTCCAAGCAGAGCCGTCTGACCGGCCCCAGCGGGCTCAGCACCTACCACCTGAAGACGGCCCTGCTGCACCTCCTGCTCCTCAGGAGAGCCACCGACTGGAAGGCTGGGCAGCTCAACGCTCGTCTGCATGATCTGCTCTGCTTCTTGGAAAAAAGCCTGCTTGAGAAAAAGCTCCATCACTTCTTCATTGGTAACCGCAAGGTGCCAGAGACCATGGGACTCCCTGAGGCTGTGCGCAGAGCTGAGCCTCTCAACCTTTTCCGGACCTTTGTCCTGCATCGAAGTCTCTACCGTAAGACAGTGGACTCCTTCTATGAGATGCTTAAGAACGCTCCGGCACTTGTCAGCGAGTATTCCCTTCATGTCCCCGTAGACCATGCCAGTCTGCCCCAGAAAGCTGTCATCTTGTAGAGCTTGTGGGACCAGGATGTCAGGACGATGGTATCTCCCATGTTCATACTCTGGGGGCATCTGCAAGCCCTGTCCTGGGAACAAGGCAGGCTTTAGTGAGAGCCAGTGCCAGTTAGCCAGGCCCTACACAGCAGAGGAAACGATGTAATTGGAAGCTGGTTTGCTCTCATGACATTGGGACCTGTTGGTAAAGCTCTTGTTTGGATTTAGGGACTGATCTTTTCCAGTTTACTTCTGGATCACCACGAATGGCCAAGATGATGACAGAACACTGTGGACACTGAGTTAGCAACAATTCAACAATTGGTCTGGGTGTAATTCATTTTCCAGGCTGTACTTGTATCAATAGGAGGGGATCTACAAGAATGCTGACAAGGACCTGTTCCAACATCTCTAATCCCAGGAATCCTTGGCCCCAGCCATCTGCAACTAAAGCGCGAACAGGGACAGAATCTTTGATCCTGCACAACAATAGGGGTCCCACTATGGCTGCCACTGTTTTATACTATTCAAAGAAAAGACCTGATGGAGATTTGAGGCCCCAAGTAGCAAATGTCTGTCATGGAATGGGTACTTGGTGTCAGAGAGAAGCTTGAAATTGGCTACACTTCTCACTCAGGTGCACCCCTTTCCACCCAGCCTGCTGTGTCCCAAGCACCATCAGTGCCATTTACCATGCTGGGCCAGCTGAGCAGCCCCTCACCTCCCTTTATTCCCCTTACAGAGGAGGAGGGCAGATGCTGATGGTAGAAGCTGACCTAGAGAAAAAGATGCACACACAGGGTGGCTGGGATAGATGACAGCCTGGGCCCAGGGTGCCAGGGTCTGGCTGGCAGTCTGGCCCAGTTCAGAGAAGTTTCAGAGCCCAGGGGCAAGGGATGCTGTACCTCTGGGTTGTCACAGGGTCCCAATCCTAGGGCAGGGTGTGCTTGGAAGCAAGAGCTACTAAAGAACCCAGCTCCAGTCTACAAGCCCCATCCCCCCACCCCCATTCCTCACTGCCCAGAACACACACTGCATAAACCTGGCTGACCTCTGAGATGATCCAGACCCAAAGAGCCTGGTGGAGACTCAGCTGACTGAGGACCCACAGTGACAGCACTATGGGCACAACCACTAGGCATCAGGCCACCTTGGCACTGCTAGGAACTGTGGTCACTGGTGGTCTCCAGAGCCTGCAGTTGTAACTGGGCTATGTCTCTAGATCTGGTTCAAGAGGATAAGGAAGGCACTTCACCTGCAGCTTCACTGGCCCTTTGAGATTTCCTCCCTCCCCACCAACCCTTCCAGAGGTCCCAAGGAGGAATGAAGAGCATGGAGACTGTGTGGATGTCTCCCTCCAGCTATGCCGCCTCCTCCTCCAGGAGCAGCTCCAGCTCCAGGGTTTAAGACAGCCATGCCTCCCAGACAACACAGCCAACTCAACAAAAAGGCATTTCTTCCCCTACCCCCAGGAGCACTCCACCTAGCCTCTGAAAGCCCAGGAAGATGGACCTTTTCCTGCTAGGGTTAATCTACAGTGGGGAGGCTCAGCTGTGATCAGGGCAACAGAGCCGGTAGGAAGCCTCCTCTAGATCGTGCGAGCTAGAGTTAGACTGAGTTCAGGCTTGGGTCTGCCTCTCCCCAGCCTCCCAACAGCCAGCCAGATGCCCCAGGACATAAACCTGCTCAAGTGTGTCTCTAACAACAGCTGGAGCACCACCACCACCCCCCATTCCAATGAATACATTTCCAGAATCAGAGTGAATTTCCTTATTTATTATCGCCCTTGCCTTTCTCCACTTCATCCTGTTCCCTTAAGCTTTGAAGAGACTCCACCAACCAAAAACCATCAAGCCTGTACCAAGCCTGGAGCTCCTCATCTTCCCCTTTGCATCTGGGAGAAAGTTCACTGAAAAAATACCCTCCGGCTTTTTGTTTATACAGAGACTATAGAACACAGTGGGGAAACAGGAACCTTTTGTGCACCAAAACTGCTTCTGAAGCAGAAAGCGGTGGGGCTCTTGGTTTTTCATGCTGCCTTATTTATATTAAAGGAAGAATTAAATCTTGCAAGGAGTAGAAAGAGTCACAGTGTTTGTTTTTAACTTCAGGAAATCTGAGGTTCCAGGGCAGAGTTGGGGAGGGGGTGGATTTCCTCTTGATGAGAAGCTTTCACTCCTCTTTTATTTTTATGCTTTCAGGAAACTTTAAAAAATAACAAAATAGAGTATTTCTAGCCTGTCTTTGAGGCAACTTGTGTGCTGCCTCTGGAGTTCCAGAAAGGAACTCTTTGAAAGGCAGTTGTAGGGCAGATTTCAGCCCAAGACCTTATTTCACAGAGCTGATGCATATTAAGAAATGTAGGAGCCAGAAGTAACAGGAAGCTTTTGGTTTTTGAAGAAAGAGATTTGTCTTTTACATGGTGAATTTCTAGTCCTCTAGGGAGCTTTAGCCTTTCCACTAAGGACTACCCCCACCCTCTTTCTCCAAGGAATCTCTTTTCCTTACCGACTACGCTGGGCTTTACACAGCATCTGTTCACTTGCTTTGGACAGTGCTCCAGGACTGTGTTTGCTGTATCTCCTGACAAGAGTGGAATGATCGGGCTGGTCCAAGGCCAAGAGCTTCGTTAATTTGGGGGAGAGCCCTATGTCCTCAGAAACCACCACCCATCTTTGGCCCTAACCGAAGGCAGCAGCCCTGGTTGAGAACCTGGGACTAGCAACGTAGTCCACAATCGAGGGTATCATCCGAATCACCTGAGGCAGGTGCTATTCTTATCCTCCCTGCTTTCCAGATGAGGAAACTGAGGCACAGGAAGGGTAAGTGGGTAATCTGTGGCCACATGGTAAGTAAAGCCAGGATTCCAACCCAAGCAGTGCTGGAGGATATGGTGGTATGTACTGAGAAGTCACGGCAAATAATGAATCACAGAAACACTTGACCACTAATCTAAGGCAGGTTTGGACTTCCTGCAACAAGCAGTGATGAGCCATGGTGGTACTTGAATGAGACAGCAACTCGATTCATCTTAACACTATGGGGTCCTTAACCATGTGAGCAGCGCCGGGTTCAGTGCTGTCGGGTATGTGGTCAACTTCCAGAGCAGAGTTGGTGGCAACTTGTGGTCAGTGAATGTCCAGGAAGTCCTAGTTTAAGTCTCTCCCAGGCTGTGATTCAGAATGTTCTCATGGTCCATCCAGTCTCCACCTCACTGGACAGAGCTGGAAGATTGTTTGTTTGGCCAGGGGATGGAGGGCAGGGGCAGCCAGGAAACACACAGCAAAGGGCAGCATGTGCCTTCCCCACGCCTGGCTGTCCCCTCCACCCATGGGGAAGGGCCCCTTCTAGAGTTAACTTTTTCCATTGCTGACCAAAGATAGGTTGCTTGTTTAACTAGTGCGTTTTTTAAAAAACAAAAACAATACAGTCATAGTAAACAAATTCAACTACTGACAGAAAAATTAAGTAACAGATTAAAGATCCCATTCCTGATTCCTCAGTCTACCCAGAGATACCAATATTAAATTTTTTATGCATCTTTCCAAAATTTTTGTATGTGTGTATCACATGTTTTGTTCTTCTTTACCTAATTGGTATCACTCTAACTTTAGTCGGATATTAGGCTCTTCCTCATTCTTTAAATAGCTGCTATTACCTCACTGTCCGTATGCATGTACCCTAATTTATCTAGCCTCCCCTACTGAGGAATATAAGTTGTCTCCACTTTTTTGCTATTATAAACAATTCTGCAGTGAACATCTCTGTGCATAAAGCCTATTTGAAGTGATCTCTCCTCTCCTGGTAATCACTGCACTCTATCCTTGCAGCTATATATCAGTTCACCACCAAGCACCTTACCATAAAAAGAACCATTGCCTAGGAGCTTATTCAGTCATTCTGACTCAAGAGTGAGGAGAAGGGCTGGGTGGGGTGGCTCACGTCTGTAATCTTAGCACTCTGGGAGGCTGACACAGGAGGACTGCTTGAGCTTAGGAGTTAGAGACCAGGCTGAGCACGAGTGAGACCCCATCTTCTAGTAAAAGTAGAAAAACTAGCCAAATGTTACTCATGAGGCTGAGGCAAGACGATCACTTGAGCCCAGGAGTTTGAGGTTGCTATGAGCTATGACACCATGGTACCAAAAAAAAGAGAGAAGAGGAGGTATTTAAACCAAGTAATTATAACAGCATTATGTGCTGAACAAAAGTAGAAGACAAGGGGAAGTAGGCCTATAGACTAGACCAGTGGCTTCAAATAAGAGCTCAATGAAGGGTGTTAAGTATTTCAAAGTGAAACTGGCTCTGGGGCTGAGGGAGAAGAATGTGAGAATAACCAGATCAGCTTTGAGTCTGCAATGTAACAGTTTTAACTCCCTAAAACATAAACGCCTCCCCAAAGAAAATCAAATGCACACAATTGTTTGTCTCCCAGGGGCTTGTACTCTATCCTGAGCCTTGTTTATTTCCTCCTGCACAATGTAGGACTCTCCTTTACAGGGGAAAATGGCACTTTCCATCCTTTGAGGTTTCTCTCCAGCTGCACAAAGAAACCAGAAAATAACCTGTCAGCAACAAATTATCTCCCAGAAAGATGGAGCCACAAAAACCTCAGAGATGTTCAAAAACATTTCTTCTTTTCTTGATGAGAACAGGTAGGTCTTAAAAGTGCAAAGCGAGACTTGCTGGACAAGAGTGGGGTAAGGAGCTAGGAAGAGTTTTGTCACATCTGTTCCTTTCAAACCCACTGGTCAGTGACATTTGGAGGAACTTTATTTAAAATAGAAATTCAAAGCAAAGACCCACATCCTGTCTCTTCTCATCAGCCACCCTTGGCTGCCTTCCCAGCTGGATGGAGATGAGTGACAGCCCCCACGGCCTTATTGCTACACCTATTTCTGAAAAGTAGACTGGGCTATGTTAGACCACAGGTCTCCTCGGACAGTGGTTGGACCCCTAAGGACTAACTTATGTCTCCTCTTCCAAAAGACATAGCCAGTGCTGAATCAGCCCCCCAGGACCCCAGGGGTCCGGAAGCTGCAGGTCAGCCCCAAGATCTCCAGTGAGATCAGCCGAGCATACCCCACACCCCAAGTAAGACTACAGCAGACACTGTATGTAGAGCCAGATTCAGGACCAGGGAGGAGGTCGGTGGTGCCCAGCTCACTGGATACTCACACAGCTCTGGCTGGTGCAGTTCCTAGGAAACCCTCTCCACAGATCTGTATTTCCTCTCTGTGGCATTTTATAATCTGGCCAGGGAGGGAATCTACACAAACTCCACACATCCAGAATAAGACAAGACATCACGTCATACCGCAAGGTTACTCTGCCAGAACATTGCTAATGATCCAGAAAGGAACAAGCAAGAGCAGCCCCTGCCTTCTCTCCATGTGCCCACCCAACATGGGGCTGCACCTGAGGGCCTGCTCACCAGGCCCACACTTCTCCCGTGACAAAGCAGGTGTCAAGGCCAATGAGACTGAGAGACTCGGTATAAGCGGCACAGGGGCTAATGGCACTGGCTCCGTGTTCAAATCCCAGCCATGCCAGGTCCTGGCTCAGCAAATCTCATCATTTCTATGAACCTTGGTTTGGCCTCAGTTTCCTCCACTATAAAGTTGGAATTGTTATTTCTCACCTCATAGAGCCACTGGAAGAGTAAGTCAAAACGGCACGTGTGAAGTTCTTAGCTTAGGACCTGACAAATAATAAGCTCAACAACAACAAAAATCCCAGCAATTTTTAGCCTTGCTCTTGGGAGGGCTCCTACAGCCTCAGCACCTCCTCCCAGGTGTGAGTCTGTGTTTCCTGGGGGCTCCCTCATTCCTCTCTTAGGGCCAAACTCTTGGAGGTGCCCGGGAAATGTTTGTGGACTTCACAGGAGAGGTCTGGAGCACTGCCCCCCACTGTGGGATCTCTGGCCTTGGCCCTTCTAGCCCCTCTCCTCTTTAAGACCCCAGGTCAGCTCCAAGATCTCCCAGAAAAGCCAGCTGAATCACGAGTTACCATAGCAACAGCGGAGCCAGGGAGAAGGTACCAGGCAGGACATCCCTGCTGCTCCAGAGATGGCAGCTACCTCTTCTACAT